TGAGGGTGGCTTCCACACTGGTCTGCATGCATCCAGCAGTGATGCTTCCAGCCAGCCTCATGGAGGACAGATAGACAAAGGTGTCCTCTTGTCATAGTTTTAGTGAAAGAGCTATCCCACACTGCAGTAAGAAGAAATCATTCTTCAGTTACTTTTGGGCCATTTAAAAATGGAGTTCTCTTTACATGGCCACAGAGAGTGAAATGGGCTTAAAAACCTGCCTTTCTCAAATGTTCCATTTCCAGGACAATCAGGGCTCTCAGTGCAGAGGGCTGCCTTAATCAGTGTCACTCTCTATATATCCTGCAACTTGAGGTCAGCCCTGCTGACTGTCCTAATACAGCTGACAGTATTCAAATCACCCTCTGCAGGTTGTTCTCCTGCTTGAGGCTGGGCTCCCACTTGCATTTGACTGGCTCTCATACACCCATGACAGGCAGGAATACCTTGGTACACCCAGCGAAGCAGGGAGTTATTTGTGAGCTTTGGTGGGTCTCAGATCCATGATGTCTCTGCAGTCACTCACTGTAAGCAGGCCTTAATGGCTAAGCTGTATTGTGAAGATGGGTTTGTGGAGAGGGAAAGCATTATGGTAACACATGAAATATGCATTACCCATATCTTCTTAAAAAAAGAAAAAAGAAATCCCCAGCCACCCTCAACAAATTTGAAGTTTAGATGAGCCTTTCAGTTGTTTGCTTGGACAAAGGCATGGAAATCAGGTACCAAACCCAAAAGATTTTTTGGGCACGAAACCCAAAAGTACCCCAATTTTATAGATGCAATCTTCGCTTATAATACTTGACTACAGAGCAAATTTAGGGAGGACAAATGTTACTGATTAGTGATTACAGAAGGCAGAAGCAGAGCAGAAAGCAGAAATTCCAGGGAGTGGGACATGGAGAGACCTGACATGAATTAGGATCAAAATCCATCTCCTTGATACAGATGCTGTGGACTATGTGTGGCCACCAAAAAATGAGCTCAGGAAGGTATTTTCAGCTGAGGGTACAGAGCTGCCTAATGTGACATGGCAGAGAACTTCCATATGTCTCAGGAAAACTTGTCCCTGCCTTGGGATTTATCTTACAACAGGAGAGAACCCCGACTTCAGCTGCCTGAGCCTGGTGGATCCCCACCGCCTGCCCTGTGCCTTAAGGAGGCTTTGCGCTTCGCACTCGGGACTGAGCTGCTGTTGCTGCTCTGCACGTCCCTCGAATCCCCCTAAGCCAACACCCTTTGCTAAGACCGAAAAGCATTTTCCAGACGCAAGCAGGAGTACGCGGGTGGGTGGGTGGGGTGGGGTGCAGGGGACTATGAAAATTTCAAGAGGACGTACGCCATCCTGGCTTTCTAAATATAGAGGACCTGAACCACGGCTCCTCTCACACGCCAGCAGCGTGCTTTCTCTTTCGAAAGGCCCCTAAAGCAAATATTGCACTGGCTGGTAGCGTGGAGGTAAAAAAAGGAAAGAGAGTAAAAACGAGCCCTGTGAGTTGATTGCGATTTCCAGCGCTCTTGCGCAAAGCTGCTCTTTAGGCAAAGCTCCAAGTGGTGCCCACACAGGGCCGACGAGGTGCAGATGGCCATCACGTGAAGGTGGTGGTGGTGGGAGGAGTGGGCTGGTGGCTGCCCCAGCACAGGGTCAGGACCAGCAGTGCTTCCCCATCACCCATCGGCATGTCTGTCCAGCAGCAACAGGGGATGGAGAGGGGCACAGCATGCAGCCCCCGCATCGGGAGTGACTGCCACCTCGGTGGGGGTGAGAATGTGACATTTTGGCTCCGTGTAAGGTGCCGTGTCTCGGTTCCCTTTTCGTTGCCATTATTGTCGCTCCAGTATTTGCATAGCACAACATCAAAATGTGTCAGAGCCAGAGGAAAGCGGTAGCTGCTGTTTCTCCTTTTAAAAACCAAGCAGTTATTCATGTGACACCATCACTGTCTGCATGTGTTTGGGGTGGAGGAGCATGCAAGTCACCTTTGGAAAAGTTCTGCAGAGCTGAATTTAATCAAGACTGACGATCTTTAAGTCAAGCTATAAAATTCAGTAGAGAGTTATATCCCAGTAATAGACCCTATTAGAGGGTCTAGTGAAGTCTATAGATAGGATCTCTTCTCTATTAAATTCTCTAGGGCTTGAGTTCTCATTTACACAAAGGGCCCCTTTACCTGTGTAAAATGGCCATAAAGTAGGTGTAAAAATGATTGATGCTGTCTTTACAACCCCTTTACACTGGGAAAACAGTGTAAAGTGACCAGGGTGCAAATGAGAATCACACCTGGGTTTGTGAGAGTAAATTACATCAAACCCTTCACAAATTCTGTGTGTCCATAGCGGTTTAATCCTACTCCTTTCTGTGGAATTCACCCAGAGAATACACTTCCAAAAAATAAAGGTTTTTTTATTCAACACCTCTGGCCTTTCCAAGCCTTTTAGTCCCCAGTCTTTCTCTTGGTGCAGTCCATGTGGACTCTGACATTGGGAAAAGGCTGGGAGCTGTCTGAATGGATTGTGGTTGGTGAAAAACCTTTAATTAGTACTTTCTGAAAATCTTGATCCAAGCAAAATATGTGTAAAAGCATAACCCAGGGGGGATACAGTTCAGAACGCTACCGTGTCCATTTCCCCATATCTTCTCTTTGGATTTTATGCTCTTGAAATATATAAAGAGGAAACACTGAAGTTAGTCTTTGCTAGATCAAAATGCCCCATATTTATTCATTAAGCAGCAAAGCACCACCAGAATACATGATGAATATTGCTTTCTTCCAGAGCAAAGGTGTAAGCTGCAGCACGCTGATCAGTGAACCGAAGCCAGCAATGGTGGCCCCTGGAATTGGAGGGTGCACTTCTATGAAGGTGCACACCTTGTTCAGTGGAGCAGGGTCTCTTATCCAGTCTCCCATCTTTTCCCTGTTGCTTCACTGAAGGCATTTTCAGGACTCTGAGATCATTACCCGCATGTCTTTCATGCTCTAGAGGAGTCCCAGCAAATTTAATGCCGGGAGTGGGTAGGCAGAGGCCAGGCAATGAAAGTCCAGCCCCATCTAACAGAGCTGGCCTCTGGAAGCCCAGCACCTTGGAGGTATTGGGAGACGGAGTGAAAACATGTGGGTGAGATGGAGGTCAAAGGATTAAGGAGACAAAAGCCTGCTCTGGTGGAAATGCCATTCATCCACGGCCAGTCAGGACAGCTGTTTCTCACAACAGCTTGCTGCTGCCAGCCTGCCAACAGCACAGCCTAAGCTAGAGCCCTGCACACCAAGTTACCTTCTGAACAGGGATATTTGGGAAAGGGCAGGGTGGAAAACATGCCCTGCTCTGCCAGCAGAGCCTTCCTCTTGCTTCACCAGCCTTCAGGGAGCAGCGCCTGGTGGCAAGGGTGGGAGGAAGCGCCAAAGCTCAGCTGTCATTCAGCCTCCCCTCAATCCCTTTCCTGCTTCTTGTTATCTTCTTTTCAGAGAGGAGAGACCACGTTTTTGACTGGAGGGAAAAGCAGGCACAGCAAGGGTCGTGTAGGTAGGAGGAAGTTCTATCCTCTGCCATGCACTTCCACAGAGATCACAGCTGGAGTCATGTGAGGAATGGGGGGACAAACCAGCATCTGGGTACAAGCAGCAGGTGAAGAGGCACGCCTGTGCATCCGTCTCGTATAGAAGGCTGGCCATGGTACATGTCCACAAGTGCTGCTTGCAAGCACACTCCGATGGAGTTGAGGAGACAGGCTGGTTCCTGGCACCACACAGATGGCCCCGCCAATGCTGACAGCAGGGTCTTACATCACCAGCCTTCCTGTACCTTCCACTGCTATCTCAGCTTGCTCCAAGCATGCCTGGGAGCCAGGCTTAGGACTTCGGATGTGTGGTGACACGTACGCAAGCAAATGTGCCCCACAGTCAAGCTTACTAGTGACTGCTATTTTTAGGTGCATGAAAAAGGCCATTTGGAATCTGGTCTCAAAATCCTTCATTTTCTGAAGCTCCTCTCTTTGCAGCTTGGCAGAGAGCATGCTGGTGACACTATGTCTACTCTAGAAACACATTCCATGACAAACACTTGAGTACATACACAGAACAGTGCTGCAGGTGGACCATGGGAGACTTAACTACACTGTGATTTTCTGATCCTCCAGGTATACTGGTCTAGCCCTGGGATGATGTGTGATCACCATAAGGAAGAGAGTTTTTGGATAATATTAGAGCTACTTAGACAACTAGCTGTTTGCCAGACTGGGGTTTTGACTTCCTGGTGGCTATTTTTGCTGCAGAAACAGAAAGGTTTTGCTTCTTTGAAGCCTTCTTGAAATTTTATTTGCTTCTTCCTTGCTAATGATTATGGCACAGTTTTTCAGGCATGTGATTGCTCTACCCCACCTCAGAGACACCCATGCTCTGGTCAGGATAGGGAAAACCCTATTTATGGCAGGGTGTGAGCACCAGCTGGCTTGCACAGATATTTATCAGAAGGCAGTGCAAAATGCTGCCAGTTTGGAATTGCTCCTACATTTGGAAGTTCATGCTGTGATAGTAGAAATGTAAGTTCAAGGGACAAACCAACATACTTGTCTTGGTATAAGGCTAGTAAGTCATAAAGCACTTCTAGAGCCACACTTTCACAGTGAAAAAGCACTGCTTGAATGTGGTTTGTTATTCTATACTGCTTATTAAGAAAGCTATTCTTTTGCCTTCATCATTATAAATGATGTCTTTGGGAGACTGGCAGTCTCTTCTTGCTTCCCTCCCTCCACCCCATTTAAAAAACATTCATTGTTGCAGGGATGTATCTTTCAGGGCTTTTGGCCCAACTCCACTGCTGGTTCATAAGGCTGATTGTCTTCAGAGGAGTTACACCAAAAACGCATTTGGCCTTTTGTGCTTGGAGTATAATTGGTGGAACTGGCTAGACACTGGGTTTGGGACCTGGGATTGCAATTAGAGCCATGTCAACATACTTTTCAATGTGACTAGTGATTCAGGGTCCTCCACTTTGGGAGGTTTCTTAACTGATCTTTTCTCTGAAAGTGGGGAGGAGTCTGTCTGGGGATCAAAGCCATCCCCAGATTCCCATTAGTGAGCCCACTCATACTGTTGTTTATTAGTAATTAGTAACCTGTATCATTAGTCACTCTGAAAAGTCTTGCATATATTTTATATGGCGGTTGTTTATATTCACTTTGCTGTTGGTCTCAACCTTCATTTGAAGAGTCTTGACATCCCTTATTAATTTTCCATATGTTAAGCCCTCATTAGGTTAGTGTGGGTTATGCCCAGATCATCCAAGAGACAATATATCCCCTAGGCATGATCAGCATAATTACAATTAAACACTTTGGACCAGATCCTTGTCTCATAAAAACTGGTCTAGCTTCTCTGAAGGCAAGGACAGATATCAGGGATGGAAATGGACCCTTTATCTTAACAGCTGTAGCCCTGCAGATGAGTTCCCAATGACTTTTTTAAGCTCTCATTTTGTCTATGGCTATTAAAGATCCTCTTTGGTGAGTATTTGTACAGCTGCATCTTTAGGACTTTGTGACCTCTACATCATCTCACAAGAGAGCTTTTGCAAGAGCAGCCATATGAAATGCTCTTAAAACGATTGAAAAATGTATTCATTAAACTGTGTGAATGTTTTTCCCTGTCAAAAACCTTGTAAACGCTCATCCATCTGCGGTGTCTATGGTGGCAGTATGCTGACATTTTCCATTCCTTGGCTAACCTCTGCCAGCCCAGAACTACACCTTCTGTTTCTGGCCTTCAGTAGCAGTTAAAGAGTAGAACCGAACTCCCACATAGAAGACCTGGTATCTGTGCTTCCACATCACGAAGCATGCCGATAGACACACCAGGGCTGTGACCAGATTGAGAGCCATCTGCAGAAGTAGGTACAGGTTGAGCATGCTGGTGAGGCTGTCACAGTCAGCTGCATCCTGGTAGATGAAGGTTCTACCAAGGGGGTCTGCAGTGTCCAGTTTGCACTGGCAGGACTCAAAGATGGTGTTGCAGGTAAATTTTGTCATCTGCAAATAATGATGTGCAGCAAAAGCCACTGCCAAAACACAGGCAACCAGACCCAGGGCACTCAGGAGAAAATACATCAACTGAAAGAAAGCAAAAAAAAAGAAAAAATAAAGAAAAAAACTTCACTTTTTCCAGCTACATGGGTAATGAGGAACACAGAATGAACGCTTGCATATGGACTTCACAGGGAACACATGCATTCAATGTACTACTTGGACACTGTACTCTTCAGAAATTGCAAGATAGCTATAAGTCCCAAGTGATGCAAAGTTTAGCAAGTGAGTTGGTTCCAGCTGGGATAGAGCTAATTTAGAGATAATTTTCTTCCTGGTAGCTAATACAGTGCTGTGGTTTGGATGTAGGTTGAGAATAATGCTGATAACACAACAATGTTTTAGTTGTTACTGAGTAATTCTTATTCCAAGTTAAGGACTTTTCGGTCTTTCATGCTCTGCCAGTAAGGAGGGGCACAAGAAGGTGGGAGGGAGCAGAGACCCAAACTAGTCAAAGGGATATTCCATACCACAGCATGTCATGCTCAGTATACAAACTGGGAAGAGTTGGTCAGGACCCACTGATTGATTGCTGGTCTGAGACAGGCTGGGTATCGGTCAGCGGGTTGTGCACAATTGTATTATGCATCACTTGTGTTTATAGGGGTTTATTCCTCTCTCTTTTTGTCATCTCCCTTTTTTATTATTATTGTTGTTATTTCTGTTGTTTTTGTCATTATATTTTACTTTATTTCAGTTGTGAAACCGTTCTTAACTCATTAGTTTTACCTTTTTTCAGATTCTCCTCCCCATCCCACCAGGGGCAGGGTGACTGAGCAAGCAGCTGCATGGTGCTCAGTTGCTGGCTGGGGTAAATCATGGCAGCAGGTTATCTCAAGAACAGTAATCCTGCCTTGCATATTTTATATGAGTATTGCCTTGTAATTTTGAGACCTGAAGAAAGCACTGAGAAATCAATGTCTCTATACAGCCAGAAGCTTTAGAGAGAGGGAGGGAGCATCTTCCTTGTACCTGCATGGGCCAGAGTCATCAGCTGAGATAAATCAATAAAGTTGCCTTGAAGCAGAGCTGAGCAGACTGAGGCTCGGGCTGACATCCCAGGCTGTACTGAGAAGTAGGTGTTTTTGAAAGTTTGTTCATGTGTTATTCCCGGCTCTTGGTTTGCATGCCCAAACAAATCTGATTTATACTTGCAAATCAGGCAGCGAGGTGGCTGATCTGCTGCTTGTGGCCCTATGAATGCAGCCAGCCTACTTGCTTACCAGGTCCTACTGTGGAGCATGAATTCAGATCTCCACAAAAAGGGCATGCTGTGCTCAATCTCCCTCTAAAACTTGCCCCATAAACATGGAGAAGTCTTTCAACGGTGTGAAAGAGCAGTGAGCGCCCTTTATATCTCAGCGATATGGCATGAGAAGAACAAGGGTCTGCTTGTCACTCCACTACTCCTTACACCAGTGGCAGCTTTAAAATAGAGTGGCTTTTATCACGAGTAGCTATGTAGAATCCACCTCCACAAATACATGGAAACTGGCAGCAACTCAGACCCTTTGTCACTCTGAGTTACACCTGAGACCTTCAGATACCAGAGCATATGGACTTCCCTCACTTTTGATAGCTGGAACTGGCAGTTGCTGTGCTGCATACAAAATATGTGTGAATGTATTTTAAAATCATATTCTGTGTTTAGCCAAAATAGCATTTTTGGTTCTGTTCAGCACTGTAGAAACATTTATTTTTCTTGGCGTCTTATCTGTCAGACACATGGCATGGTTGGGAATCTGTTATTTTAAACAGCAGCTTCTCTCTTTCTCTCTCTTAACCTCAATACTGCAAGCAAACTATCAATATAAAAGCATTTTTTATGACCTTGAAACTCCAAGTATGTATGTCTTGATAAAATTCATGCTCCTGGTGTATTTCTCTTCTATCTACAGCATTGAATCAATCTTCCTATTCATTTGCCAGTTTGAAAAATAAAATATTTGGGCTTATTGCAGATCTTAAAGCACTGTATAAATTTTCTCCCCAGATCACCAAATTCTTAAAGCAAGATCTTAATTTCCAAGACTTGGCTACTATTAAATTTATTGACTTCGCGTGCAGCCTTAAACCAAGAGCAGCTTCAAAATGAGGGTGGCTCTTACTAAATGCAATTACTTTCAAGGAAAAGGTCCATAAGAAAGGCGAAGTTGGAGAATCTCACCTCTTCATATAAAGCACAGAAAAAAATGGAGAACTACTGACTGATGGGCCCCTTACAAGCAAAGATGTGGTAATTCATAAACTGATGGCATTACTTTAAAAGATGGTGCAAATGTGTTTGATAGAGATAATGGAAAATGGACATTCTCTAAGGGATGAAAGTTGTGCAATATAGGAGTCCTAGTGGACTGTCTGGAAGTCCCCAGATTCAGACCATCAGAAGACAGAATCAGGGCTCCCTAATAAATGAGATATTAAGCCAAGACTACACAATGTGCCTGATTCTCTCTTGGCAGGTATTTTATTTAGCTGTCAACTTCTACCCAAATTCAGGACAAAATAGGGTGAAATCCACAACCTAAGCTACACTCCAAGTACAGTAAGCAAGAATTTGCCTGTTCTGTACCTAAATGAAAGGAAATCCCAGTATCCAAATTACATGGGCAGCTCTTCCAGCAATCCTCAGAGCCAAACAGAGATGCATGGGGCCATTGGCGATTTCCAAATAGCTTATTATTCTCACAAGATGTTTGCAGAGGAATCTCTCTGCAAGCTGCTGAAAATGAACACATTTCCAAATATCAAAGGTGAGGCAAATGCAAGTACTGCCTGTGAGTGAGTACAAGACAACAAGCGCTGAGATCCCATCAGCAGATCAACCACATGCCAGCCCTGGAGGCAACTTCAGTATCGCAAATACAACCCTGTAGTAAGCTCTGCCCAGGAACCAGAACTTGCCACTGGAAAACCATTTTTTAACAGCCTCAGAGAGATAGGCATTGCAATTGCTGTTTGAATAGAAGGAGAAAAAGGAAGCAGGAAGAGACAGCATATGATGAGGTCAGAGCATGGCAGCTCTCCCTCCTCCAGGTTCCTTATATGAGGAAGAAACTTTTAACAATATTTACTGGCAAAAGTTTTGCTCTGTGTCAAATAACATTCAAGAACCTAAGATGGATCGAGTTCCTTGTGGAAAAGGCTTCTCATAGTTGTCAGAGGTGAAACCAGAAGTGTTTGCAGACATGGATCCAGGGGACCTCTTCTGAAGCTGATGGTGACTCAGGCGTGACTGTGCAGGGAACAGGAACCTCAGTGTGTGCTATGGCGTGGGAAGCTGGGGCTGTGCGAGCAGGGGGGTGTCATGCTACTGTGGAAGATGCTGTGATGAGGACCACAGTGAATGATCTGTCAAATATTAGCAGATAGCCCAGGAAGTTCACAGGAGATCTCAAGATTTTCCTGCGTGGGGTTTTTTGGTTGGTTGGTTGGTTTTGGACAAGGGAAGAGGATGTCCCTTCTCAAATACACACATAATAGCTGGACATGCGGCTTTGCCATACTACAGGGCATGCTTCCTGCTGATGCAGAGATGGGGCAAAGCTGAAATTTAGCCTGGGGCTTGCCATTGCTCCCCCAAAGGGCAAAGCCACCCTCCCTTTGGGTGGTGGTCTTCCTTTTTCATGGATGCACAGGGTGCTGCGAATACCCTCAGTAGTCTCATGAAGAGACTTCTGCCAAAAGGATTTCTAACACCTCCTCCTTTAACAGGATCCAGGGCTCATGCAAGTATGAAATGAAAGAAGCGGCTGTTGAGAAGGAGGAAGGCAGAGAGGACTGCACGTGCCTCCTGCTGTGTCCCACCCCGAGGGAGTCACTCACAGTGGTCATAGGGTCACCTCAGGGGTTAACCAAAATCCCCTAGGCCTGTAACTGTGTGTGGTCCTCCTTCCAAAGTGACCCTTGGGCTAGGCAAGGGATTCCAGAGTGCTCTTTGTGCTGCAGAGAAGTCCAGCCAAGATTTTCTTCTAGGACGATGCTCAGCAGCCATGTGCAGTCTCAGTGGGCACCAGCCTGAGGGCAGGGCCTGGGCTAGGGAACAAGTCCCTGGGAAGACAGCCACAGCAGATAGGGCTGAACCCAACCCCACTGCTAGATGAAACATCAGGCCCCCGAGCAGGAGAGAATGACCAGAGTTACTTGGCTTTGTCTCATGATTGCAATTTTGCATCCTCAGCCTTGTGACATTTTTTGGTTCAGAGACAGCCTTTCACTGGCAGCTGAAGATCTGAAAAGTGATATTGGGGATTTAGATGAGTCCTAAGATGAGATGTATGACCAAAGGGCTGCAGGAGACTCTTAGCTCCAACTTGGTTTAAAATAGGTACGTGCCCCACAGCCAGAAGCCATTTCTTCAGAAAGGCAGTGAAGGGGGGAGGCACTGTGGAAAAATGGCTCCCAGTGTGAACATGGGACAGGAGAGATGAAAAACCTGGTCAAGATGCAGTTTTGTGGCATGCTGCAATAGGAAACCTTTTGGGGAGGAGAATGCCTCGGGTAGACATCAGTCCATGGGCTATGGACCGAACCAGAAGTCTTTCAAGGGAGACTTCAGCTCTAATTCTGCCAGGTGATGAGGAATGACCCATTTTACTTCTACATTCTCGCTGAAGCAATGGCTCATGTTCCTCACTGCCAGGGTGGGCGGTGTTACTAAGGGTGGCAGAGACATCTGAGCTGCCCAGCCCAACATGCCATTCCCACCACGAGGGATGACTCCCTTCCTGCTTGGATGCCAAGTTCAATTTAATGCTGCAGGGCAAGCAATAAAAAGCCTGGCGAGGCAGCTCCTGCCCAGCCCAGCAGCTCCCTGGGCAGCTATAAGGCTTACTTGGGGGTGTAAAGGTGATGGGCGAGAATGTGGAGGCAATCAAAGGGCAGAAACAATTGTTCTTCTCCCTTTTTTTATGTAAGTACGGGAGAAGCTTGAGAGAGGCACAAAAGACACACCGGGGTCTAATTTCTAAAGGGAGGATGAATGCCAGGTTTCAAAAAGCCACTCCTTGCATTTTATTTCCTTCTGCCTTTTTCAGTTAATAATCACTGTTATTTTGTGTTGCCTGCATCAGTATTTTTCTTGGTTGTTATGTGTCTGCAAAATATTAAGAGCCTGGAAAATTACAATAATAAGAAAAAATAGCCCAGGAAAATGGTGTTAAAAATGCCCCATCAGGAACAAGCATTCTTAGCCTTTTCTAGCCATTTACCAGTGTCAATGAAGCATAGTTTTGGGGACTAAGGCAGGGCATGGTGCACGGTTTTTGCACCTCTATTACAATGCTCAGACGGGAATTTGCTTAGTGGAAGAATGCTTTATTCTATGGTTGGCTAATGCTTTCCCATGTTCACTAGTGCCTCACCCTGACACAAGGCACCATGTGCTGATACATAGCTGTCAGTGCTCAGGTACAGCCTCTCTATTCCCATCCATGGAGGTGGGCAGGTAGAGATTTGCAGCCACAATTTTTCATAGCCACTTGTGCCTATGCAGTTTCTTATTTCATAGTGAGGAGCAAATCTGCTGCAAGATGCTGAGATGCTTCTCAGTTCACATTAAAAATTAAAATTTGATTGAAGTGAGCCCATTTTATGACACCCTACATCTGATCCAACTCTCTATGAGTATTTCTACTTCATCAGTAACCCTCAGTCTTTCACTGAACACTTCCCAAGTTATTCCAGCTTTGTTGATCCAGATCTCTTTGATATTCTTAAAACATAGAAAAAAAAAAAAAAAGATCTGTTTTGTTCTGATATTGCTCTGATTTGAAATATTTGTTATTATAGTTTCCCCTTTATAGGCTACAGTTTCTTCCTTAGCTGCCTGGAAAATACCAGAAAACCATTATTGCATTTCAGGTGCATTTTCACTTCTTTTCATGTGGTCTTAAAAATATCTCCAGTATCAGTTTTTCTGATTATATTTAACAACATGAGAAGGAAAATAGACTAAACTAAAGTCGAGGTACCTTTACTGTGAACTGCACACACGTCTTCTCATCAGGTTGGTATGAAATGCAAAGCATAACAAATCCCACTAAGGACACCACACAAACCTGCAACAGAAGAGATATAAAATGTGTCAAAGAAAATAAACTAACAAATAAACCCACAAAAATAATTATTTATTTATTTTTTTTTTAAAGCTCAAACACCTTCCTGTGTTAGCAGGACCGTAACTCAAGGGGCAGTGTGTAAGTGAAGTTGTCCAAGTAGGGGCTACAGCCATGCATGTAAGAGCCTTGTACTTGTGGATGCATCTGCGAGGAGGGAAGAACTTTACCTCTCACTTTACAGGCACTGAAGTATGAAAAACTTACTCACAGGGACTTTTTGAATCAGACCTACAAAGACACAGCCCCGCAATAGCCTTGAGGATATATTTTGAGGTTTTGCCCATGTAACTAATGATCAAAAAGGAGCAGAAGGCTTATAAAGTTGGACTTGCAAGCCCAAAGAGCACCACTCTGTGTACCACTGGGCGCTGCCAGGGTTTTTATGTCATCAGTGCAAGTTGTAAATCAGTAGCCATAGCTGCCATTGGATAAGAAGCAGCACAGTTTATAGGGGTGGCTTTCACCCTTTCCTAGAGCAGACACCTTCTCAAAGAAGACATGTCTCCTGCAACCTGCATTTTAGCCCTGTGGCAGTAATTTCTGAAGGTTAACAGCAATGAAAAAGTATTTACATACTTTATTATTGGTTTAACCATCTTTACTATTAATTCTGAAGATTGATATTTATTTGCAGGAGCACATATTCACTGGATGGCACTTTCCAGCCATGTAAGGGGGAAGATCCTGCTCTGAGGAGCTAGCCCAGTATGATAAGCGTTAGAAGGAACCTTAGCTGAGATCAGCCAGCACACTTTCAGAGGTCTTGTCTTCACACATGGCCAGGAGTAAGTGTTGACCTCCTTGCTAGGAGCACCTTGATTATAAATGATAGTTATTAAATTCTCAGTGACAACAGCAAGAAACTGTATTTCCCCCCCCCCACTTCGTTTTACTTCAGGGGGTTTGAAGACTTCTCATTAATTTGAGGTGTTCTGCTTTCCCAGAGCAGTGGGCTTTGCCTTCTCAGGCCAGACTTAGGTGTGAGTTGACTTTGCTCAAGGGTGGGACTACACCATGGAGATGCCAGCAGGAGTGTGGGACTCCTTCATGGCCCCATCCCTGCCTGCTTGCTGTGTGTTCTGGCACTGCTGCTCACATCCAGATACCCAGCTCCACAGGGAACTGCTTGATCCGCAGTGAAAAATGCGTAAGTGTCTTTCTAGACAGCAATGGTGAAACACATTTCCTTTATGATCTAATGCGTAAAATACCCCAGTTTTCTTTATATCTTCATTATTGGCATAAGGCACTAGGCAGCACCCCTGTGAAGGAAGAGTGCCTCTCAATACACGGGGTGTCATGCCCTCAAGAACCTGTGTGATTAATAACACTTTTCCCCATAAAGTTTTATTTCATGTCATTTCAGTAGGACATGAATAGAAGTATTGCCTGAGAACATTTCTAAAGAAAGCGTCAGTATTATTTACTCCTTTCCATGTCATGTGTATTTATATTCTGGTCCTATGACTTACACATGGCCTCCAATTTATTTGTTTTCTTCTTTTTATTGTTGACAGCCATAGCTGACAGGGCTGTCGGGGGAAAAAACAACCCTCCTTGTCAAAGGTCCTTCAGTGCTGGATTTCTTTTTGCCCTATAGTGCTTCTACGTGACTCACCCATGTTTTATTTCTCAGGATTAATCACCTATGTCCTTGTTCCCTTGGACTGTGTATTAATCTTTTAATTCAATTAACATGCCCATAAAACTTAAATCTTAAGGACATCATATCTAGTGATACCCAAATGATAAATTCCTCCAGTGGTGGTAGTGACTGAAGGAAAGAACACGAAGTGAGAACTAAAAAATATTCTTAAATATACTCGCTTAACATTACATGCCCAAAGTCATGTGAAATCAAAGGGGCTGCTCATGTCAAAGCTAAACCTAAGTATTTGCAGGACCTGGTGCTGAAGGATCTTGTTATGAGCAAAAAATTAGACTTGCTTTGTTTCCACTACACTAGGAGGCATTTACGCTTACAGGAACCAAGGGCCAGATTTGCCTTCAGGTTACTCCTGTGAGACATCATGGGACTGTGCCTGTTTTCCCACAGAAAGCCGACAGAGCTGCATTCATTGTCGAAGGCAGAGTCAGATACCAGCAGTGAAATACTCTCTCTACCACCAAGTGCCTAGCACAGCTTCTGCAAAAACCCCACCATATTTCAATGTGGCAGGATCAGGTCTCCTCAGAAAGCTTCCCCTACAAAAGACTGCCGTTCAAAAGGATTTCCATTCCTGCACATGCTTTCTAAAGTTCCTCTGGGATTTTAATAATATACTCAGGGATACTTGAAGAGGCACACTTGTAGAGAGGTACTTAGAAAAGATTACGCTGGGTCAGGATTCCAGCGAGTCTTGGGCAGGATATTTCAGAAGGCTTAAATATTTCTTTTATAACAATATGCCAACATTTGCTTTTAACCAGAGATGTGTATTTTTGCAACTAAAAGTAAAAAATAATGTTGCTGAGAATTATGACCCATAGATATTTTACATTTTAGTTCTTTAAAGGTAAATTTGATCATCGGAGCAAACCAAAGTGTGGAACATTTATACAGAAAACGGCTTTATGCTTCTATTTTATACATTATTAATAGACCAGTTTTGAATTATACCTGTGAATTGGAATAGAATAACTTTAAAAATCCTCTGTTAAGTATTTTTTAGGACCCGCTAAGTAACTAAGACAGCTGCAGGCACATTACAGATGCTGTTGATGCTGATTGCTAAGTAGCATTAGGTAATCCTGTGTCCTAATGCTTCAATAGCCACTGCAATATCCCAGCATGAGGCATACATTTCCTATGCCTTATTGACCAAGCACACAACATAAAATGCAATTGAACTTGCTTTAGCACTTGCTTGCCACCAGTCGATACGTATTTGTTATACAAATAAAATAGGTCCTATAAGAGCTGCCGAATAGCAGTTAATTAGATCAGCTTTTGTAACTGTAATCTGGAAAGCTAGAAATATGCATTTCTGTGCTGAGTAAATTTCAACTCTACTTCATTTCAAGATCCTATTTAAAAATTTCCAGATGGACTAATACACCATTTACAGAATAGGTAGTGGTATGAAAGGCTATCCAAGGAAAGAATTTATATCTAGAAAAGTGCTGTCTAGAAAAAGACCCGAATGTAATACAGAAGTATTTAGGAAGGGTACAACTTTAATTTTGGTTAAGGCATACCCTGGGAAACATCTCAGTCCCCAACCCTGGGAAAACAGCTCGTTACTAGAGCTGGCTAAGAAACATGAGATATTTATGCTGTAGAAAAGTTTCAATACTACTTTTTTGTTTCACGGGAAGCAATAGACCTTCTTCCACTGGACAGGAACATCTCAGGGTGGAAAAGTCACTTAAGAATTATTGGGTTTTAAACTACAGATTTGAAGTAGACATTTTCCAAGTTGGCCCCACTCCAAAGAGGGCTAGAGACTGTTGTCAGGAGAACTGAATCAATTTTCTATGGATTTAATCAGGAATGGGACCTGACCCAACTGCATTGAAAAGTGGGTCCTGGTTAATTTGCCTGGAAGGATCCCTGCACTCATGGAGATCTAGCATGCCGTCCTTGGCTCTTCAGGACTTTGGCAAACCAGCTCTCCCTGCATGCTAGCATAACTGGGTGTTTCTCACAGCTTGGAGCCTCACACACTGCAGCAAAATAGATGGCTCAACAGTGAGACTGCAACCATACCACAGTACACGTTCGATACTTGCAAGGAGAATGCCTTTACATATCTTGATCATCTTAAAACCAGAACTCAAGCAGTAAATAAGATCAATTTCAGTCTTTGTGCACCCCAAATCCCTCACCATCAGCGTTACTTTAGCTGGTGTCACTGTGCTGAAGAGCTCCAGCTATCACTGAAACTCAGCAGGTTGACACCATGCCCAGCATGGTGCCAGCATCCTCCTGCATCAGCCAAGCCTGTCCCTCCCACTAAACTTATGACACTTCTTAAAAGTGTCATGGGTGAGAAAAACAGGCTTGTCATCTCCAACAGGAACACACAGATGGCAATGCAGAAGGGTGTTTGGACAAAGCCCACAGACATTGCTACCCAGAGAGGACTACAAGGTTGGGGCAAGGGAGCTGCTCTCCCTGTCCTCAACTCCCTGCAGCTCACTCATCTCTGGTCCTACAAGGACTAAGCACAAGGTGTACGAGGAGCATAAGGGCACCACATGGTAGTGATGAAGATGGGTACGTAATGTATGTAACTGGGGGAAATAGGAGCGCATAAAGCACATATTTCCACTGTGGTTTGCATTCATTACTTTTGCATGCTAATATATTAATGTGGCTTGCTTTATTTCAACAGATTTCAAACCACAGATTTCTCTAATCTGACTGCATCTCTCCTTTGTATGTTTGTGAATCTGTCTTTTCTTTTGTTACTGCTACAGTTTTAGCCTGAGTGTTGCTATAGACTAGGTGGTTTTTGCCAGCAAAGTGTTTCCTACCCAGAGCATCTTTGAAACTCTGGCACATGGGTAAAGCAGGAGAGTTGGAAACCACCAAGAAATAAAGGAAGGAGGCAACAGCCTGGTTCAAAGGAGCATCTGTGTTCTATGCCATATCACAAGACAAATGCTGCAACCACTCACAACGAGATATTATAGGTCATCAGCTCTTGTTATGGGGGCTTGTTAGCAAGAACCTCCTGCAACAACCTTCAGGGGCAGAACACAAACACCTTGGAGGACAATACCTCTCAAATATATACGATGCAATACCACACAGCATTGCTGAGACCCACAGGTGGGTGGACTCTTCCTTTTTAATATGAATGTAACCTCTCAACCTTCAGGGCAATGATTAATGTAATAATGAAGAACTTTTCATTATAAACAAGTTATTTTATTGTTACTCACTTCAAGAGACTAAAGATCCTTCTGTTTGTAGAGACAAGGGTAAAGAACTT